CTCACAGAAACATAAAAATACATCTGAAATGAGAGTAGGCTCCTAAATGAATGGCCGAAGAATTCACGATTCCTCTTTCAGACTGGTTTTAGGCATCTCAACCCCTAAATTTGACTGTGAGAATTTGATGGACAGTGTACTACAGATGGTCTTCATTGAGGCAAACGGGTGCTGGGTGGTTGGCCAGAGGACCAAAGGCTTGTTTATGACTGGTATGAGTTAGATGATGTGGAAGGTAGAAAGTTTATTATGGAAGGTGGAAGCCTGAGGCATACCACAGTGGAACTGATAAACTCATTCTCTAATATACTGAGAAATCTTGGAGACAACTTTTGAGAAACACCTTTTTGTGTGATGCCACAGGATGATAAGTCATACCTTCTATTCAGTTGAGTTTTGTGGTGCCTGCATTCTTTTCATGTTATGTCTTCTTGTTCTTGTCCACCGAGTGTAGGACAGTGGTCTTGGTTTGTCTGTCATCAAAACCACTCTCCCTTTATAGTGTTGCAAGTAATTGTACTGACCAAAACTGTGATTTATGGCTTGTGGATGGGAAACGGGGGGAGTGGATAACCCATGGTGGCCTAGAAAGGAGAAAAACCAGTTTCTAAAGAGATAAGAGTATTGTGAGCTTATTCTATCCATGGTAACTGAGAGTTCCAGACTGAGGGATGGTTGACAATAATATGTCTGAGAGTCGCTTCCACAATCTGATTTATGTGTATGTTGGCCATTGGTTTGATGGTGGATTAGGCTAACTGTGGATCCAAAGGCATTACTAAAGCCAGGACCAGAAATTGAGCTGTCTAGTAGGCTAAAATATCTAGGATTGAAAGGGGAATGGAATGGACTGCCTTGGAGAACTTGTCCACTATCGTGAGGATGATAGTGTTGCTATCGGAACCAGTGACAAAACCTGACAAGATAATGGATCATTCATGAAATTTTTTTTTCTCTCTCAAACTACAGTCCATACAGGCATCTGGAACTCTTGTACTTTTAATTTCTGTTATTGTGGAAACCTAGAGCTGTATAAGTATTTTCTTTTTGACCATGTCCAAAGTCTCTGCAAAATTTCAGTCAAAACTTTGCCAAGGGTTTGTGCACGCATGTAATTTAGTGTAGATCAAAGGCAGATTTTTTTTTTTGTCTCCAACTAGTCCCAGCAGTCAAAATGAGACATTCAGTTTAGAGCTTTAGCTAGCTAGCTAGCTAGCAAGTTAATGCCCGCAATACATCTCACATAATGAACAGACTAAATACAAAAGGAAAAGGAGTGACTTGGTTAACCATCTAACAAATCTGTATTCAGAATTTGTACACCAGCTTAAGATAAGGGTGAACAACAGAAGCTTGTATAGCAAATATTTACTTATCACAATTCTCTAAAATCAGATTTAATACAGTTTCAATATAACAGTCTGTCACTGAGTCATATCTGAGCAGATGAATGTTGTATTCAATAAAAAGCAGTCACAAGGCATCAGAAACAGCTAAAGGTTTACAGCATGTTGGCATTAAAAAATATCGAGTTGAAAGATAGGCCCATTTTTAATGAAAATCTGCTCACCCATAGTCGACGCTGACAAAGGATGTTTGTATCAGCTCAGAAAGACACACTGACCCACAGCATCACACGGTGGATTCTCTGAATACATCAACGGTTCTGATTTAACTGTAGTACAGAACAAATTCACTACATTAACTACATTTTGAACTGATTGTAGCTTAAATGTACTTAAGTTATTTATGTCATCTTCTTCCACTTGGTCTTTAATGTTTCATTGATTGAGACTTCAGACAGACCAGGTTAACATGTGACCCTTTCTACCGAACCATGCTGTGAAACGTGCAAAACGTAGTTTAATATATTAAATATCCTGATGATATTAAATATTAACTAAATCAAACCCTATTGTTTTTTTTAAGTGGCTTCTCTGGTGGTTTTTTGTTATGTTTTTCCTACTCTACAAAGTTTAGTAATAAGTAATGTGTTTACTGTAAAGTAAAAAAAAAACCTACCACAAGAGTAACAAACCTGTTTTTCGCTGTAGCACCATCTGAAGATCAATGATAATTTTTTATTTGTGGTATTTATTGGTCACAACTAGATTGTAGAAATGCCTCAGATGTATAATTACCCTTTGCTGACGTCTCAGGTTTTTGCAGTTTCACATTGAGAGAAACAAACTCTTCTAATTGATAACCTTAAAGCTGTAAATCTCTTCATCCTTACCTTTGAAACAATTATCTCTTTTTGGAATACTTTTAGTGCTTGGTTGTGTTACTGAGAGGTCACTAATGAAATGTACCATTTGTGAAATTTTTTAACAGGTGCCATAATTTTGAACCCTTCATCAGCTTGTCAACACAAAAAACTATCTTTATTTGTACTACCTTTAATTAGGACTTTGCAATAACTTGTTTCTTTATTCACATTTTTCATTTCTGTGTTGTGAAGTTGGTGAGTTCCTCAGTAAATAGTATTTTGATTTGACAACTAAAGATGGGAGCGGCCATTATTCCTGTGATTTTACGTTTTACTGAATATTTAATCGAAAACACCAAATAAGTTTACAAGTCGTACCTTACTTTTTCATGGTATTACATCATGCTATAAATACACAACAAACTTAAGAGGTGCTATTTTGGAGCCATGAAATATACATGGATGAAAGAATATTCCTGTTTTATGAAATGGGCTGCTAACAGTTGCCCCTATCAAGAAAGGTTTTCAGTTCAAACTAGACTTTGCAGCTCTTTTTGTGTAGAGTTTGCATATCCTCCATGTGGAATCATGATTCATGATCAGGATTTTTCTCCCACATTTCAAAATCATACAAGTTAGCTTAAAATTATTAAATGACCATAGGCGTTAATGTGAATATCTGGTTGCTTTGTCTCTGTGGTGGACTGGTGACTTGTAGCAATATTTTATTGACAATGATGATAATTTTACACTACTACTACATACAAATAGAATTTAGACCTACAGTATTAATGATTTGCAAATAATCTCCATAGCGATGTTTCTCAGCTTTAGCATCATCTCAGTGACGCAAAGTGCAATAAGTCTTCTTAAATACTAAATATAGTAAAGGGGCAATAAATCCTTAGTCAGAACTATGGCCACATTTAAACTACCGATACGCTAGATATTTTCAATAGGTTTTTCTTCTCTGTTGATGAAACATTGCTATCTACAGTATTCTTATAAAACTCTGAAATATGCATATGTTTACAATAGTGAAATATCCAAATACAAGCAAAGAACATTCTTAGCTTGGCTGAAGATAGCGCCAAAACTAGTTTACAATTGTAAACCGGGAGAGGATCAAAAACTTTTTTCAGGATAAAGCAAAACAAGTCCCTTACAAATGAAATAACGGCTTCATTGTTGTTTTGGTTTCTAGGGCACTAAGCGATAGGAAGAATGTGCAAAACTGTTGGCTTTGTCATCATTTTTAAAAGTCCACTTACACCAAAAAAGAGATTGCAGTATAAAAAAATGTTACTTTTTCTCACTAAAACCTTTCCTTTGGAAAGGTTGTATATATGTTGCAGAAAATCTTTACATTTTGAAATATTTCAAGTTTTGTGGACAGGGCATGTGGGCTTAATAAAGAAATGGTTGGGTCTTGGTTTTAAAGAAGTTTGTTGGATATTTAACCATAAAATTTTTAATTTGCACAGTTCAGTGAGGAATTATGGCTCCCGCATTTCAGTCAAGCTCTGCCAGTAAAATTAGACATAGAGAAGTCAAAACACTGTCTTAAAAGGTTGTTTTCTGTACATAAATTACGTTAATAAAACTTGCTTTTCTCTGCCAAAAATGACTAGAATGCAAATTTCAATATGACAATAAAGTTCTAAAGCTACGCTATTTAGTATACTTTTAGGAACTTAACTTAGTTAAACGTGCATACCTAAAAAGCTGAAAGTATCTTAATAAAAACATTAAAGAGATGTATCAGAGGTGAAATTACGGGTCAGTAACAGTTCGGATATTTTTACAAAATAAAAACTGTGTCTTTCAAGAGCTAAAGACTTAAGGTTTTCCATGTGTCTTCCTTTGGGCAGAAGAAGTTTAGTTTTGTCAAAGAGCTGCATTATTTCAGAATTATTGAGTCGATGCACTTTTCTTTAATTTATCATAAACACAGTGAGATCATTAAAACTCACCCATTGTGAGGTGACAATCCTTTAGCATCAAACTATTCTACAGTTAGCGGGTAGCTGTTAAAGTCCTTATGGCTTATAAAAGTTTAACCATTTTTTTGTACATTTTCAATAGTACAGCTTGAACAGGATTGCATGGCACCACAGTGTGCCACTTGGCAGGTTTTCCATCCGTCAATACGTAGGGCAAAGTGTAAGAAACAACAACCAGCAGCTGGATCTTCAGTCACAACACAATTGCAGTATGAAAATTGCTCCAAGTGATTCCTGAATTATATAAAGAGTACAGAAAGTGGGGAATGTTGTAAAAGCTACAAAATTTGTAAACAAAAATACATTTAAATACACAAAGAGCATAAAAGCAGGAAAATACAAATACAGAACAGACAGCCCTAAAGGTAAGCCACGATGTCCATCAGTCTGTTCATGATGGGTAAGTGCTTATTACTGAACAAGTCGTAGTCCACAGTTTTTGTATGTGTCTGTAATATTCAGTTATCCACCCTAATATGGTAATTATTGCTTCTCTACGCTATGAAGGTTTGTGCCTCACTAAATAACTCAGTTTTACCAAAAAGTAAAAATGACAACACTTTTAGGTGAACAGTCGCGCGAGTTAGGAGACAACGTACGTACATCCATTCGAACCATTAAACATTCATCCACAGAGAGAGCAGGTCGCCCAAGTTTTACGATCTCAAGGTGACGACTTACAGTATTTGCCGCAGGACACAGAAGACACAGGTAAAGTCATACACAAACCAAGTCCCGGGAAGTACAAGCCCTGAGGCCCAGCTGAAGCATCCCCACACAAAAACACATCACACTGCTGTGTGCTTTGAGTTTGCATTTTCTTTCCTGGATAATGAAGAAGTATTTCCACTGAACTGGCTGAAGCTGGCAGCCCTACACCTCGCCCTTGGGCCTCCTCCTCCATCTCCAGTCGATGGGGCTATGGGTAGAGTACTGTAGCGGCCAGGAATGGGGAGGCCCTGGTCCTGGTTCTGTGCTTGGTTGTCAGGGTGGAGGGTAATATCCTTACTGAAGAGGCTCTGGATGAGCTGTAATTTTTCCTTTTCCTCCTGCAAAAATAGGTTGACTATGAGCTTCTTTTCCCGTTTGAGCTGTTCCACGATGGTTTTGGGGACATCTGGGATCACCCAAGCAACCATCAGGCCCAGGAACATCACCAAGTTCTGCAAAAAGCAGAGGGGAGGAGAAGGGATAAAAAGCAGCATGTTTGAGAACTTTTTTTAACTTCAATTTATTTATAATCAGCTCTTTTAATGACTGCAAACACATTCCACTAACAAATGTCCAAAAGTATCAATGACAACAAAGTTGGTGGAAAACCTTTTCAGATTACTGTTGGAGAAACACCATGAATCAGTAACAACAGAATTTCTTCCCCCATCTATGGTCGGGTCACAGGGACAACAGGTCCAGGAGTAAAACTCAGACATCAATAGAGCTGTCATTTCTAACCCGGGCCCAAAGCTCGACCCGGCCCGAATTCAAGCTGGGCCGGACCATAATAATGTGCTGGATGAGCGGGCTGAGTCGGTGTCGGGCTTTTGATTGTGTCAGCAGACGCATGCGGCTGACAATCCAATTTTATGGCAACATGGCTTGCCATACTATTTGGATCACCAGCCGCACGTGGCCGTTTGACCGCATGCTGACTGGTCGGTTGAAAGAAGCTAAAAAAAAGTTCAGTTAAGCTTTATATGGACTACTGCCAGCAATTCATCCAAAGCCCAAATGGACTCAGCCGCTGTGTCAGTGGACGCGCGCGGTCAAGTTTACTGAATGGGTTTGAAAACAGGTGAGATCCCAAAATGTCCTCGCAGACATGTCAGAGCAGGGACCGTGTGACTAATGCATTCTGTATTATTCACACGGACCCTGAAACTGCTTAAAAGCCTCTCTTCTATAAATCTTCCGAAACATAATTCTGTTATGGATTTGGTCAGTTGGTCCCTCAACGCAATTTACAACATTTCTTTGAAGAGAAGACAGGCTTTAGGTGAGAGAATTTGCCCTGTTGGCATGCACACAGCTGGATGTCTCATCGACTTGGAAGACTTGATGATGTGTCTATCTCTGCTGCCATGTGTGGATGTTAAAGACACATACTGTATATAATTGGATTTATGTCAACTGGTTTCCTGCTTTTTGGATTTGGCTGGTTCCAGGTTTATCAACATTCAAGGAAGTCATCAGCAGCAAATTTGGACCTGGTCATGCTGCTTGCCTTATGATGGCTTGGTTCGTGCCTCGAGCACCCAGACTCAAATGCTTTTGGCAGAATGGATCAGATCTCGGGGAATACTCTCAGGCATGGTCCAGTGGTGTGGCCATTTAATTTGGACGTTTCAGAACCGAGTGAACTGACACAGACTCAAGGTAGATGCCAGTAAAGTTCTGCCTGTCCCCAAAACAATCACGTTTATCTGAATTCAGCTCCCTGACTGGCTTTGATAAGCCATCTTATCTTAATTCACCTGGAAGTTTTGTAAACCTTTGATGCTCTGTCCCTCCCCCCCTCCCACCGAGGAAGTCTACGGACCAATCAGAGGGGCCCGGACTCTTTGGATTCTATTCTGACGTTGTCCGCAACACCCAACCCCTCCCTGGATCCACTTTAAAAGGGATTTAAGTATTGTATTGTTTATTTAAGTATAATATTGTTGTCTCATTTGTTTAAATGGGTTCTCTTTATTTACTTTTAGGACTTGTGTGAAATCTGATGATGTTTTAGGTCATATTTATGCAGAAATATAGACAATTCTAAAGCTTTCACAAACTTTCAAGCACCACTGTATATAAATATATACGGAGCAACAGTAAGATAACCCAGATGTGTTCCTGATTCATGATGTGTCTCCAGCAGTCGTTTGTAAAGGTCTTCAACAACCTTGATGTTGAGGGAACATTTGGACAGCACATGTTAGGAATGTGTGCAAACAACAAAAGAGCTGGTCGCTGACCAACTGTGACCCCCGATTGTAACGAGAGCACAGTTTGATCCACATTTCATTGAATTTATTGCCAACAACAGGTGTTCATTCTCCATAGCTCCTCCTAAAAAGAAGGTATGAGCTGCAATTACTGACCTGTTATTAAAAAAAAAAAATCACCACAAACACATACCTGAAACAGAATGACGAATGCCAGTCTTGCAGAGAGGACACACCAGTACTGTTTGGAGAACTGGTATGCATCTGGAGACCAGGGGGGTTCTCTGTAATCCTTATACCTAAAACAAAACACACAAGCACAAAAGCTCAAACTGAAATCCATCAAATATATATGAGTACTCTGAATTCAGGACACAAGTATTTTAACTGAGGACTTTTAAAAATCTAAGTACCAGAAACTGACACACCTAATAAACAGAACGTGACGCAATCTGTGTTTGTGGCCGATGATCAACAGGAAACAGTTGAAAAATCTGACTTAGACAAAAGTTTTGACTTCAGTATTGTTTTCATTCTCCAACCCGGTTGCAGGCAAGAGGCTAATTAAAATAATGTTCTCCTCTTCTCAGCTTCAGCTCTGACTCAAACAGCAATTAACCTCATTTGGAGTTTTTTTTTCGTTGCATCCTTTGTAGTAAACAATCGTTAGTGTGCAGGCTAAATAAACAGCACATAAACCGAAACACATGTTAAGCAAAACGCCAATGTACTCATACTGGAATAGACAAAGAGGGAAATTGAAAGAGATAGATGTAGAGATGATGTGTTGTTTACGACTAGCATGTCAAATAAAGCACTTCACATTAAAAATGCATATTGTCTGAATGGGCAGCTGTGATTTCATGTCACACACAAAGAAAAAAAAAATCATATTTCAACCCATGGAAACATCAGTATGTCCTGTGTTTATTTATTTATGATGTTGTAGAGCTTCTCTGTCACATAAAAAGATCATTATCTCTGGAAGTTGAAGAGATATTTGTCATTGGATTGCTTTAGGCTTTGAAGTTTTGAAGAAAAAAATTGCTCCGGCTTTCACAAACGTACTGTTTGAACGTTCTCTTGTGGACTTTTTGTCAGGAATTTCTGGTGTTCAGCCAAGAGGATGGAAAAGTTTGGTCAAGCTGTTTCCTGCCATTCCTTCAAAATGAACATAGGTCACCTTTATGTTCAACTTGAAGGTTTCATTTATTTTACCATGACTTAAATGCTGTCAGTCACATCCACAGGAAGGAAATAGGAAGACACAGCAGTTTGTCCAAATAAACGCCTAGAGAAAATGAACAGCTGAGTTAATGCTAAAACCTGCTAAAGTCTAAACCTGAAGGCCACAGCTTTGGTTTGAAGGGGTGGTAATAAGTCTGGATTTCACTTGGCGGCGACAAATTGTGATAAGCATTCTGGAAATTTCTCATATAGGTTGCAGAACCTTTTTTCCTTCTAATTTTCAGTTTAAAAAATGTTTAATAAATTTGCAAGACAAATGTTGTTCTCCAGTTAGATTCAGTTAGATTAGAAAGACAAAGACCCTCTAAACTGTGGCTCCTATAGACCTACCTCACTTTTAAAAACTGATGTGAAAATTCTTGCGAAGGTCCTGGCAAGACAACGGGAGCGGGTGGTCCCCACTCTCGTTTCGCCTGATCAGACTAGGTTTGTTAGAAACCATCAGGCTTTCTTCAATGTTCAGTGGCTGCTTGATGTGTTGTACACTCCAGGCCCACCTGAGCACACCTGTGATGAAGTCATTGTTTCATTAGATGCGGAGAAAGCTTTTGACCGGATGGAGTAGGGCAACCTCTTCGAGACTTTAAAGTTATTTAAATTTGGTCTCAAATTCATATCATGGGTGAGGCTGATGTATACCTCCCTAATTGCAGCGGTCCGCACTAACTGTAATATAGCTTCCTATTTTGAACTGCAGCAGGGTACAAGTCAGGGGTGCCCACTTTCACCACTTCTATTTGCGTTGACGATAGAACCATTAGCTATAGCTTTACGGCATAACTCCATCATTAAGGGGATAAACTGACTAGGTACGGAGCACAAAGTTTCTTTATGTGCAGATGACATGCAGTTGTATATATCAGTTCTCCTTCGGTGGGGCCGAGATGGGGAAGAGGTATGGCAGCCAACTTGGGACCAGAAAGTCGTGGTTCGACTCCCAGCCATCCCCACATGTTGAGGTGTCTCTGAGCAAAACACCTAATCCCTAATTGCTCCCCGGGCACTTACATAGCTGCCCACTGCTCCACCTGGATGTGTCTCAGGTGTGATGGGTTAAATGCAGAGAACTAATTTTGCCATTGTATGGAAACATACAATGATGACAATAATTGTTGCAGATTTTTAGAACCCATCTCAAATACATCTCAGTTTAGTTTCCAAGGGTCAGAAAGTGCAAAGCTTTGGGAGGGTTTGGTGGCCAATGAAAAAGAATTGTGACTGATGGGCGACATAAAAAGGCAATAAAATTGAGACATAAAAAAGACAGTGTGGCCAAAAACAATGCACAACATTTGTGGCAATTTATTTAAAGTTACTTATGTGTGTGCAAACATGTGAGTACCAGTTCAGTGTCATTTATGTCCAACTAGTTTCCAACAGTCACAGTGAGATGCAAGCGTTAGAAATGATGGCAGGTGACGATTCAGACCTCGTCTACTTTATTAAAGATATTGTTTAAATACTTATTTTTCCTGTTTGTGCAAAATAAAACAAAAAAACCCATCAACTTATGTCTCCTCGTATTTAAAAATAGAAACAGATCCCCTCAAAAAAATGCTAAAATACACTGACGGAGGTGTCAGGACAACATTTAAAAATAAAGAACAATTTTAGCATGACTCTCCTTTTTTTATATTATTACAATTTTTTGCTCTATTATTAGCCTTTTATGCACAGGATAACCATACATGCCAACCATCCAGATTTGGGCAGGACAGTCCCAGATTTTGCACCACCTGTCCTGCATACGAAGGGGTGGGACCCCCAAGTGACCCGCATTTGACCAAAGCTGGCTTGGCTTACCTGTTTATGTTGCGTCTTTGTGGAGGGAGGGACAGAGGGGCTGTTTCATGGATTTCCTGCCACAGCAGGTTGAGGTTACTGTATATAAACTATACTAGCTGCGAGGCACAGCTTCTCAGCTTTCAGACAAAAAGAGTAATGCAATCTTCAAGTGTGATCTCAGCTAAAGTTCAGCTCTAAGACCAGCTGTAAGACTGTGTTCCACCTTTAGGTAAACATATAAAATACAGGTTTTATGTTGTGAATTTAGTAAAATACACTTCAAATGCCTGGAAAATACAAAGATTTGAGTAGATTTTTTTCAAACTTTTCTAAGAGGCTTGCCCCCAGACACCTCAAGGATTGCTACACGTTGCTAATTCTCGCAAATAGCAAATGCTGGCAGGGGTGGTTGTTGGTGGTTAAAAACGTTTTCCAGGAAGTGGATTAAGTAAAAACGGTCTCAGTTTAAGCTAAATGAAACTTTAAGTCTGTGTACATCACCTTCACACAACTTATTATGTGAAGGTTACCGGTCCAAACATTTAAGAACCAAGTCCATATCAGCCAGAATGCACGCACATTTGGCAGATGCTACAAAAATGTGTGGACTGTTTAATTCAATTCAATTCAATACAAAATACTTTATTAATCCCAAAGGGTAATTACATTTTGTTGTAACTCATCATTATGGTTTCAATGAGATATGTTTTTATGCTGATGGCTGTGGGCCATCAGCTCACATCAGCCATTGTTGTTCATTGGCTGCCATTGGCTGTTCATCCATCCATCCATTCATCCATCCATCTGGACAGCAGCTTGAGCAGAGAGGTCCAGACATCTCTTTCCACAGTCACCTCTTCCAGCTCTTCTGGGAGGACTCCAAAGCATTCCCATGCCAACCGAGAGACTAGTCTCTCCAGTGTGTCCTGGGTCTTCCCCGGGGTCTCCTCCCAGTAAGACATGCCCGAAGCACCTCCTTAGGGAGGCACCCAGGAACCATCCTTACCAGATGCCCAAACCACCTCAACTGGCTCATCTTGATGTAGAGGAGCAACGGTTCTACTCAGAATATCTCCTGGATAACTGACCTTCTCAACCTATCTCTAAAGGAGAGTCCAGCTACCCTGCAGAGGAAACTCATTTCAACCGCCTGTTTCCACGATCTCATTCTTTTGGTCACTACTTCATGACCATAGGTGAGGGTAGGAACGTAGACTGACCGGTAAACAGAGCTTTGCCTTACAGCTCAGCTCCATCTTCACCACAAAGGACCAGTACAGAGCCCACAATACTGCAGATGCTGTACCAATCCGTCTGTCAATCTCACGCTCCATTCTTCCCTCACTCGTGAACAAAACCCAGAGATGCCTGAACTCCTACACTTGAGGCAGAACCTCACCCTCGACCTGAAGAGAGCAGTCCACCATTTTCCAACTGAGGACCATGGCCTCAGATGTGGAGGTGCCGAGTCTCATCCCAGCCGCTTCACACTCGGCTGCAAACAGCTCCAGTGAGAGCTGAAGATCAAGGCACAATGAAATCAACAGGACCACATCATCTGCAAATAGCAGTGAAGGAATCCTGAGGACTGTGGACCATTTAATGAGTTGTAAAAAGTGCCGCTTTTCTTCATGTGATATAAAATAAAACAAGTATGTTTCCTCTGTCTGAAGGCAAAAACTAGCAGACAATCCCTCACATTGTAAACCTGAAGCAGATCTTTAGGCAAGAAACAAGACCATTTAGAAACAGAGGTTTGCTTTGTAGAGCCATGGCTAACACCAAACAACAGTATTAAGTTAAATTAGTACATTTGGAAGAGAATGTTCAAAACAGTGAGGAAAAATACATATTTACTATCTTCATCTTCTCTAAATGCATAATTATGATGAAAAATGGCCTTAAAATGTGATACATTATGAAAATACAATTATCAATTTAAACCAAATCTAAACGCAATACAGAAAATCTAATTGCTTGGTTAGAAGTTTGTTACTTATTTGTAATGCTACATTTTTATTTTAAAAATATTTGCAAATGAATAAAAAAATTAAACAATATTTTGATCAAAGCCTAAGCTCATAAACACAGAAAGCACGATATTTATATTTTCTGTGATATTTAGGAACTTGCAGACATGTAACACAAAATAAAAATGTTTATTCCTACTGAGTCCTATATTTCTGCTACATTATTTCTTCACCAGATGCAGGACTCCTTTTTTTCTTTCTTTTGTGACATTAGGATATCTGCATTCAGCTATAAAACAGTTATAGTGCATGCATGCGGTGTGTGCTTTGTTGCCATGGCGAACATGTTAACCACAACCAGTAAAGAAAAAAAAATCTAAATTTTTGTAACTCTTTCAACACCACTTAAACTCCTACAAATCAGCATGTACGTCACAGCAGCCACATGTAGTTTGTCATGTTTTCACAGTACATATATCCAGAACAAAAAACAATGCGTAGACACTGCTCTAATAATAATAATAATAATAATAATAATGTCATCACAATGTCAGCACTGTATGTTTCCATACAATGGCGAAATTAGTCTCTGCATTTAACCCATCCACCACCAGGTGGTGCAGTGGGCAGCTATTGAAAGCGCCCGGGGGGCATTTTGGGGATGAGGCGTGCTGCCCAGAGACGCCACGAAACTGATAGAATGACGAGCAATATAGTCACCTAGATTTAAACGTCCACTGGGGTCAGAAGCATTTGTAATGTGGAGGGTGTCATTCCCCAATCTGTTGCAGAACCCGTTCCGTAGTGTAGCTCATTTATGCATGTGCTAAAAGGAATACTTCTGGGTTGCACGAATCGCCATTCAATATGCTAGATTAAGGAAAATGTACTGGTATCATTCCGTTTATGAATAAGAACAGTATTAATTTACAAAATACTTAGAAAAGTAAGTGCTCTATCTCCGCCAATTTTCATGTTGCTAATTTACGCCACTCGTATTTCCATTAAAGTCGTTGACATATTTACGTCATGATTGAAATGATATGCAGCTTCACCACTGAGTGGTGCTCTTTCACCATGCAAATAATTCATTTGGTATCCTGCAGGGTTTTCCTCATTCAGCCCAGGCTGGGGGGTCAGGTCTAATGTGAAGCATATCATCTTAACCAATGATTTGTAACGGAAATACGAGTGGCGTAAATTAGCTACATGAAGATCGGCGGAGATAGAGCACATACTTTTCTAAGTACATTAAGACCGTTTTTATTCATAAACAACGGCAATCCGTGCAACCCGGAAGTACACTATGGATTGTGCTTCCATAACAGATAGGGGAATGACAGACTGGACACACTGGTGGTGGTAGTGGGGGAGGGGTCTGGAGGTCCTCCCCCAGAAATTTTTGAATAAAGTAAATGCCATTTTCTGCATTTTGGTGTATTTTAACAGGTTGTTCAACATCTACATTTACCTACATATGTGAACACTTGATTCAATAACTATTTTAGCTTCTTTGACCATCCTAACCTGCTCCTCCCATCCACCTCGGTCAACAACTGCTGGCACTAATGTAGCGCTAATCTAGCACGCAACACAGAAATGTCTCTCCCTCCTCCCCATGGGAGCATCCTACCAAGTCACGTGACCTTGGGGAAACACTGCTTGCGGTGTGGTGAGTTGTTGTCGGTAACCTGGAAAACCCGGAGTGGACTTTTAATGATTTGAGTATTCATCTATTAATCAAGTGGAATGGATTCATACAAGAAGAAATAGAGACAATTCTGAGTGAACTAATAGTTCATGGTAAATGTGGAGAGGTCCAAATGAATATTTTTTAAATGTGAGGGGGACACGTCCCCTTCACATATAATTGTTGCGACTCCTATGGAAGCGCCACAAGTGTGACCCATCATGGCAGTGTGGACAAAGATTGTGTAACAATACTGTTGAGTCACTTCTTCATAACCGTTGTTATTATAGCGTACATATGAATTGTGTTTGTGAAGTTTCAACGTTGCTATGTTCATCCTACAACATTGTTGTATCTGATGCAGCCTGGCATTGCTGGAGATCACACAAATTTGTGCTAAGCTGTCAAACTTTTTTTTTTAAATACCTAAAAAAGAGATGTTACACAATTTTTTACAGTCCCTTGTCTCAAAATAATGAAAGTAAACCTTAATGTTTTTGGTGCAAGATATTCAAGTGGGCAGGAGTTACACTATGTATATGAAGAGACACAGGTTTTCTTTTATTAATTTTTTACTTTTTTTTTTATCCAATGTGGAGCAGAGTATCATCGCTTGAAGTATTTTATCCACAACCAGACACAATGGTGGAGCCAGGGGTGGCAGTGGTGGCCTTGGCCACCATAGATTAACCTTCAGCCACCCCAACAATTTGAGGAAACTATACTTTTAAGCAATATAAAACTAGAACTAGAAAGCATACTTTCTTTAAATGATAGAGGTGGTCAGTTTACACATATATATGGTGGTGGCCATCTTGTATTTTGAAGTGGCAACGCAGTTTTCAATAATGACCTTTCTTGCTCCTAAATATAGCCACACACAAAATTGGAAGTCTATACTTCACTTATTTTTTAAGCTATCATGCTCACAAGACAAACAAATGGAGGGTATTTCCAATTCTTCTTGTGACCGGGGGACAATTATCCAAGGATGAAAATAAAGTAATTTAACGAAGAGTTTTGCAGACACCAAAATACCTATTCTACAGAATTTATCCTAGGTGTCATAAAATACACACAATGTACAGTATATCCATTAAAGCAAACAGAATGATTTTGTTTCTGCTGAGATACCAGGGAGCAGAAAACACTGGTCAATGTACCACACAGATTAACCACGTCACATTATTGTGAAAGCTCAATTCAAGTTTCACTGACACGTAAAAAAAAAAAAAAAATCTCTAATCCTTGGAAGCCGGAAAAGATAACCCCCTGACTGAGCTCTCCCTGAGGTTCACACTGAGAATACAGAAATAACGAGGAAGGATGGATTCTGACTTATAGAGGCTGATTCCGTCTCCTTATACAGTCATAAGTCAGGAATGTTCCTTGTGAGAGTGAGCTCGTCTCCCTTTTATCTTTGATCTGTTCATATTTTACAGCATTTCGTTGTTGGTCAACTTCCAACTTAAACTAAACTATGGTCAAACAATGCCTGTCGTTGACTGAATTTAAGTTATTTTGTTTAGAAAAAAAAAAACCACAGTTGGTTTTTAGACATGCTTCTTGTGTGTTTTCTTGACGCTCCATGTTTGGTTATAGTAGTGGAGCTCTGCAGCAACCTGAGCATTTAACTCAATAATCTTTCATGAGACTTCTCAATGAGATTATGGTTTTGTAGTCAGTATGTTGGATCTGTGTGTGTGCGCTCATAAGAGTTGCTGCTGCCAATACAGTGTCTCCTGGGATCTGGTCATAATTTACAGACAAAGGTCAAACCATTCCCATTCCTAAAAAATGACACTGCTCCAATCACTGAACAACCACAATGACTCTATGAGGTATTTTTAGTTCCTGCAATTTCTCACTTAGTTTTTGTGAAACTTTTTTTTTTTGTCAGATTTTGTTAATGTACAAGAAGTAAAAAGTTAAACATTTCCACTTGATGTGTCAAGAGAAAGTGGTTTTTAACCACATGATAAAACTCCCTTGACATTTTGGCGATCGGAGTGTAAGCAGAGCCAGTTTCATGTCAGCACTGTGGACATCTGAAAGGCAGACTATCTTAAAAAAACATCCTTTTTCTAGGGAAGACTATCTGAGATTGTATAGTAGGTCATTTATGGTTAGATAATCTTGTTTCCTATTGTAAAACAGTTTAAACCAGATGTTTATATGCACTGTACAAAATGTTTGCTGTCTGACTTAAATCAGATTAAATCTTTCTATAGGGCAGCATGGTGGCTCAGTGGATAGAGCTGCCGCCACTCAACGAGCGGGTCGCCCCAGTTCAAATCCAGGCTGGTGAGCTTCTGGGTGGAGTTTGCATGTTCTCTCTGTGCATGCGTGGGTTTTCTCCGGGTACTCCGGTTTCCTCCCACAGACCAAAATCATGCATGTTAGACTGATTGGTGACTAAATTGTCCCAAGGTGTGAGTGAGAGAGTGAATGGTTGTTTGTCTGTATGTGTCTCTGTGATGGACTGGAGACCTGTCCAGGGTGTCCCCTGCCTCTCGCAGCATGATGGCTGGATATGGGCACCAGTGACCGCTGAAATCCAAAAAGGAAGAAGCAGATAAAGATCATGGATGAACGGATAGATTGTCTACCGTTGCGGGGTGAGGAGGGAAATTGGAAAACACACTCTGTCCATCCACTTGTCTGTCTGTGAGCATGATAACTTGAAAAAATAGGTGAGGTACAAACTTCCATTTTGTCCTTGAGTGTGGCTACATCTAGGTGTGAGAAAGGTTCCAAAAATTGGGTT